TTTATTAGTGTGAGCCTGGTTTTTTGCATCTAAAACATAAGGCATGTGCTCATGTTTAGCACAGTGACTTTGCTTTGTGAGCTCTTTTCTTGTGTATCCTTGCGCTGCTATTGTTCAAGCCAAAATCAAGACATCAGTGTGATGATTGCTCTCAAACTCAACTTTTGAGTCATTAGAAAACAGGCCTCTAGTGTTCATTAAACTTGAAGAACCTTGACTTAAAGAACTGTCAAATGCACAGCAAGATCTACCACAGCATCCCTTCCCTGATAATCATATAGCAATATTGCTATGGGCTAGTGAACCTGTAATGGCATCATCCAATTGGAAGACAAACAGAATTAACATTCATCCTGTATATTGATTGTTCCACATTTCAAAGCAAAATTGTTCTTTCTCCAAATTGCACGATCAAATATATGCACAAAGCCCAACCTCGTCCCACTCCCGCCCTCCCCCCTACACACATACACACACAATATCAATCCGAGTGCAGGTAAAATGACAGCTTAGGTCCCTCGGGATTCGCCGTACATGGACAATAAAATTCCACTGTAATGCAATCTATTTTCTGCCCTAATGGAAATTGCATTGCTCAGAATGGATAAGGAGCACTTATCAGACAGCCTGCACTGCAGCGATCGCTTGTCTGGATGCGTACACGTTTAGGGAAATGACATATTTTTTAGGATTGGCATTGCAAAGACGCGGCGTAGCTAAAAGGTCATTAAGACAATGTAGTCGTGCATTTAGTTTCATACATGGTGGATGCTTTATGTACACAACAAGGGAACTGAACAGAAAATACTAATGGCTAACATTATTTAAACCTGATTTTCTTACTTTTCAGTCACTGGTCAACAAAACCAACTACAATCCTTTATTAGTGCAAATCGATAGCTTTAGCATACATGGGCAGGAGGAGGCTAACAAGTTTCCAATGTGCAGACACAGGACATTAGAGGAGAAATGTGTGTTCGCCAAATGAGTCATTTGTATCCTTGAAATGATTTCTTGGTGTGAGCCAATTACTTTCTAAAGATTAAAGCCCAACAATTTGTGCTCATTTTCAAATTGGCATGGCTCCTCTCTCTGTGTTGCCACCACCAGCATTAACACTAAAGACTCAGGCTGCATCTTTCCTGATTTTTTTTTTTAAATAGAGGCAAATTAGAGCCACAAGTTGCATGTCATTTCTTTCATAAACCTGTTTAATCCAACAGTGCCGAGATTTATAAAACATTAAGACAGGAGAAACAAACCTATAAATAGCATAAAAGGTCATTATGAAAATGTTCATGGCAACAGCGCTGCCATGTCTTCATAACTCTGGGGACAGAACTTAATCGCTGGCTTTAGATGAAACTCCTCTGGTGCTTACTGGGAATGTTGTGCCGCACTAATCTTATTTAAACATTAAGGGCACTTGAGGATGACACGACTGTATGAGCTGTTATAACTTGTGAAGTCTCATTAACATGGGCAGATAAAGTTGATTTGTAGCAGCACAAATAGCTGATTAAACATAAATTGGAAAGGCTCCAAAGGACGTTTGTAAATGCAGAAGAATCAGGTTCACCGAGTACATCTGTATGAAAAACATTGTGCCTACAAATAGGTTTGAATAAAGACGCTGTTAAAAAAATAAATTGTTTGCTCAAATGATGTGTTGGGTAGCATGAGGCCACTGTTACCAGGATTAGCTACAGCTTGTACAGCTTGTCCCTATATTTCATTTAGCACTTGTCCAAACTTTGGGCCCGTGGAGCTCTTCACTGCTCTAATATCCTCCAGTATGTGCTGAACAAATGGTGTTGTTTGTGATATTTCTTTCCTACCATAGCGGGATATACAATACAGATTCCTGAGGGGGGAGATGATAAAACTATTGCAGCACTGAGATGTGTGGACAGCTGTCAGGTGTGACTGCCTCCCAGGATGGCTAGCTCATTATCGTCTCGTGAAACAGGGGGACAAGGCTACCGAGCAAGGGAACGCTAGCAAGGGTGGATCTCATTTGCTTGTCTCTACTGAAACTCAAAACATTTCCACCCCCTGGCATCTCCAGATAATTTGGAACTGCACTTTGTGTTGTTTAGTCACTAGCTGAATGATACTTTCTTTGCTAAATATCCATCTGCCTTTCTCCCAGTGAGCTCCTGCCTGCCTTTTGTGGCTGCTGAAAGACTGCAAAAACAGAATGGTTTACTGCAAATATAATAGGATGTTAGAAAAGAAAGACATTTATGTGGGTCTGTGTTTGCTGACAGTGTTTGGATCTGGACAAGTTTGAGGCGGCCTCCACTGAAGGCCAACTGGTGAATAGAGCGCTGGATCTTTTGAGAAATGGTACGTTCTGGGCCGGGATTGTCTTTGAAAACCTCCAGCTGAACTCCAGCCTCCCACCTCCTTATGTCAAGTACAAAATCCGCATGGATGTTGATGAAGTAGAAAGTACCAGGACAGCAAGGAGAAGGTATGTAACACTGTTATAAAAACCCGTTCTTTTTGCTGAATACCAAAATGACTTTAACCTAATTTTATATTTTTTGTGCCATTTCTTCTGTCTCACATTTGATTGATGTCTCTGTTTGGTTCTTTGACTATACTAGACTAAAGAACTTGATGCCATATGTGTATATATATGTATATATTAGGGGTGCAACGATACACAAAATTCACGGTTCGGTTCGATACTTTAGTGACACAGTTCGATATTTTTTCGATACAAAAAAATGTTCATGCCTTTTTAATTTGTCATTTATTAAAATTATAAATATATATTTTAAGTCAAAAATACAGTTTTTAAATTTAATGTTGCTGAAATAACAAAGTAATAGAAAAATAAATAAATCTATCTGATCGAGAAATCACTCATCTTTGGAAAAGAGAGTTTATTACAGAGAAATGGC